CCATCACCACGCTGCTCCTTCGTTTTCCACTAGTCTCTTCTCCCTCAACACAAACAAACAAATCACAGTTTTTCCGCCGCTGACTTCTTCTCACCTTCTACATCATATCTTCTTTTTCCAGCCTTTCTCCCATGTCCATCATCCTTCTTTCAAACAAAAAAAAAAAAAAAAAACGAAAACAAAAACAAAACAAGCAATAGTCCTTCCCATCCTCTCTCCCATCGAATCGGCGACTTCCTTTCTTCCGCCACAAAAGAACACAAAAGAAATACAAAATCCACCTTTTCCTGCCCTATTGCTGCCGCCACGGCTGTCAAGTTTAGGCAATTTGTCCATTTTCACAATTTTACACTCTGAGTCCCTCGACTTTCAATAATTTTCATTTCCGTCCCTCTTGTTTTTTATTTCATGCCAAATAGTCCTATCTCTTCTGATTTATCCAAATCAGTCCTAGAAATTTAAAGTTTGTGCCAGTAGGTCCTAGACTCTTGCATTTGTGAATTGAGTCCTTTTGTTTTTTTGGCTAGTCCTTAATAAAACACAAAATCACAGACTAACCCCACTGTCGGATTCTCTTCTACCACAGCGAAGCGCAGATACTATCTCTTATTTTTATCTTTTTGCGCCGTCTGTTCTTCTATTGGATCGAACGTTGTTGCGTTTAAATCAGCATACAACATCACTACCGCTTCCAGAATTCAAGAGGCCGAGGTCGCGGGCGTGGTCGCAATCAATATTTTGGTCAGTCCTCTTCTCCGTTTTATCACTCTTATTCTTCTTATCCGGCTCTCATGTTTACTCCCAGGCAGCGCGCTCCCTCTCTTCTTGGACCGCCTCCTTCTTCCTCGTCCAATTCGGGTCCTGTTCGATGTCAATTGTGCCACCAGTTTAATCATTCTGCCCGGGATTGCTGTCAATTCCAACAGCCCGCCTATTTTGTTGATCAACATAATCGGCTTTTTATCCCTCCGTCTGTTGATTCTTCTTGGTATATGGACACGGCTTGTGGTAACACTATGACTCCCAATCAAGGTACTCTTACTAATTCCAAACCCTATCTTGGTTCTACTCGAGTTGTGATTGGTAATGGTTCAAATTTACCTATTAAATCTGTTGGTACACTTGTTCTCAATTTCGCTTTCCTAGGGTTTATTATGTACCTTTACTTACCAAAAATCTTGTTTCTGTGCGTCAATTTGCAACTGAAAATCAATGTTCTATCGAGTTTGATTCCTTTGCTTTTTCTGTGAAGGATCTTTAGACGAGAAACCCTCGTCTACGTTGTAATAGTGTTGGTTCCCTTTACACTTTCCCATCCACCCTTTTGGATCAATCTCGCGCACCGTCTTCTTCATCATGTCCGGCATTCGCTGCTTTTAGTCTTTGTCAGGCTTGTCAAATTGGGCATCATAAGCTCCCTTTTATGCCTTCTACTTCAGTTACTTTCAAAGCTTTTCATTTAATCCATACCGATGTTTGGACTTTTCCATGTCTTTCATTTAGTGGTTTCAAGTATTTTGTCCTTTTTCTTGATGATTTTACTCATTATTTATGGGTGTATCCACTTAAACATAAATCTGAGGTGCCTCACAAATTTATTAACTTCTATACTCTTGTCCAAACTCAATTCAATAGTTCTATAAAAACTCTTTAATCTAACGGTGTTGCTGAATGTGTTCACTCTCATTTTCTTCAATCTTTTCTCAACTCCAAGGGAATTGCCATGCGCATTTCTTGCCCATACACTCCTCAACAAAACGGCAAAGCTGAGCGCATGAATAAGACTGTCCTCAATATGGTCCACACCCTCCTCAATCAAGCTCACTTGCCACCTGAATTCTGGGTAGAGACCTTAAATACTAGTGTTTATCTGATAAACCGTTTACCTACCAAATCCAAGAACAATTCTGTTCCCTTCTCCCTTCTTTTTGGTACTCTACCTAATTATGGTGTTTTGCGGGTCTTTGGATGTTCTTGCTTTCCTAATCTATCTAATTTAGCTTCTCACAAGCTCTAACCTCGGTCCACTCCATGTATCTTCCTCGGTTATCCTGAGTCTTATAAAGGTTACCGTTGTTTTGATCCTGCTTCTAAGAAAATTTACACTTCCCCTCATGTTGTTTTTTATGAAACCTCTTTCCCGTTTCCTCACCTATCTTCGATTCCACCACTCTCTACTCCCAACTCCCGTTTTAAACATCCTTCTTTTCTCATTCCACGGTCCATTCCCACTTCCGTGATACCTTCACCTCCTCAACAAAAGTGTCCACTGTTCTTTCTGTACATTTAGACCCTACACCTTCTACTTCCTTGTCAACTCATTCGGGTCCTCCTTCTTCAAATCCTCCCACTCATCATATGGTCATCCGCACTCGGGATGGCACCCGTAAACCTAAACATATCCCCTCTCTTACTACTACTACTACAACATCTTCACTTCCCCCTGAACCAAAATCTTTCACTGAGACCAATAAATACCCTGAATGGCGAGCTGCTATGAGTGATGAATATAATGCTCTCTTCACTAACCATACATGGGATTTGGTCCCTCCTCCTATTTCTGCTAACATTATTGGCTCAAAATGAATTTTTTGAGTTAAGCTCAAATCCGACGGTTCACTTGATCGATGTAAAGCACGTTTGGTCGCTCAAGGTTACAATCAAAAGCCTGGTATTGATTATGATCAAATGTTCAGTCCGGTGGTTAAACCAGTGATAATTCGGACTGTATTAAGCATTGCTGCTTCTCGCAAATGGCCCGTCCATCAGTTGGATGTTAAAAATGCATTTTTGCATGGTCATATCAATGAAATTGTCTACATGAAACAGCCTACTGGTTTTGTTCATCTAGATCATCCTCACTATGTCTGTCAATTGAACAAAGCTCTTTATGACTTAAAGCAGGTCCCCGAACTTGGTTTCACAGATTCACTACTTTTCTGTTTTCTCAGGGTTTTACAGGCAGTCGTTCAGACTCTTCTATGTTTGTGTATTCTGCTGGATCAGACATGGCGGTTTTGTTACTTTATGTTGATGACATTCTCTTGACAGCATCTAGTAATCGTCTGCTCACTACTATTATTCAGTCGTTGAAGGGTGCTTTTGCCACGACTAATCTTTGTCCAATCAGCTATTTTCTCGGTGTTTCTGTTGCTCCTCACTCTGGTGGTTGGTTTTTACACCAACGTAAGTATGCTGAGGAATTGTTGGCTCGTAGTCATCTCGCTGATGCCAATCCTGTTGCAACTCCCCTTGCTCCCGCTTTTCAGTTTTCTGTTTATGAGTCTCCGCCTTTTCACAATCCAACTCTCTATCGGAGCTTGGTGGGTGCCTTACAGTATCTTCCTTCACCAGACCGGACCTTCAGTATGCGGTCAACCTTGTCTGTCAACATATGCATGATCCCCGGGAACAACATTTTCAAGCTGTCAAACGTATTCTAAGATATATTAAAGGCACACTTCATTATGGCATTCATCTCCGCTCCGGTCCTCTTGATCGCCTGGTTACTTATTCTGATGCTGATTGGGCCGGGTGTCCCACTACTCGCCGTTCTACCACTAGTTTTTGTGTCTTCTTAGGCTCCTCTCTCATTTCCTGGCCCTCCAAGAAACAATGTACAGTTTCCAGATCTTCTGCTGAGTCTGAATATCGCGCGGTTGCTTCTGCTTTGGCTAAAACGGTTTGGTTAGAGAATCTTCTGTCAGAACTTCATATCAAGCTTCCTCAGCGCCCAATGATCTTGTGTGACAATGTCTCTGCTACATACCTAGCTGCCAATCCTGTTAATCATGCTCGAACCAAACATATTGGTCTAGACATTCATTTTGTTCCTGAACGTGTCGCTGCTGGTCTTATTCGAGTTCTTCATATCTCCACCCAGTCTCAACTAGCAGATGTGTTCACCAAATCCTTACCTAAGGATAAATTTTATTCGTTTAGAACCAATCTGTGCATGATTTCTTCTCCTGCTCCGATTGCGGGGGGGTGATAGAATATATAAATACGGAAACCCTAATTAGGGTTTCTGATAATCACGGCTAGGGTTATTGTAATATTGTATTCCCTCCGTCCCATAATTATTGTCCACTTTGCCCAAAAAATTTTGTCCCAAAATTATTGTCCAATTTGACTTTTTATGGATCAAGTTACACATTTGTCCTTAATAAAAAACATTATCCATAAAATCTTAGTGGTTAAACAATTACTTATGTAGGGATATATCCGGTTGTTTAAGGTAAAATATAGTTAAGTTTGACCAAAAATAAAATCTTTCATTTTAGTAAAACTGGACAATAATTATGGGACGGAGAGAGTACTATATATATGATGTTGTACACATGTAATAATATACGAAAAATATTCTTTCAGCATTCAACATTCAATTCAAATCACGAATATTGCTCTAAAGTTTGCACATGACAATGTCCTAATTATTACTTTTGGCACATTCTATCGATTAATCCATGGCTTTGTTACAATATAGTAAGACAAATCCCCCGCAGTCTCCCTCAGTCCCTATCCTTTTTTACTACAAAGTACAAACTCAATAGAGTAGAGGAAATCAATTCTTGCTCATCCCCAACCAAAAACCACATAAGCCTTCGCATTTCAACTTTCTATATTCAAAAATCCATGTGACAAAGTTTCATAACTGAAGAATATAATAGTTGATATTTTTAGTCTTGATGTTTGCAATATGACTACATATAAGAATTATTCCCTAACCATAAACAATTCTGAGACTGGATTTGTAATAACCAGAAAGATTGGGACTAAAAGTATGAATATAAGAATTATGGAGTACAAATAAAGATTCATTAAAATACTTCTGCGGTTATCGGTAAGAGTCTCAGAGTTTTGTTCGTTGCTTCGTTGCTGTTCTTTCTTTCTATCGCGCTCGTCTCCCTATAGTAGTTGTATTCTATTCTATTCTGCCATTACCACCAACAGAATCTGTATTTCAACCGTCACAACGTGTTTGAAGAAATGCCTTTGCAATGGTATCCCTCACCATTACTCAATTCCAGTTTTGCATTCCTCACAAGCCCATTTCGTACTTGAGCGTCCTGTCCACCTATCCAGTTTTGAAACCCAACACACGGGTTACGATTACGAGGAAAAAAGCTTCGGATTTGTGTGGGTTTTCTGGAAAAAGAAGTGATATTTCTGGGTTTCTTCAGCTTGGGAAGGCGAAATTTAGGGAGAATTCTTGGTGTTGTTGGTGCAAACAAAGTTGGGAGAGCGAGGGAGACTCTGAATTGGAGGCGGAAATCTTGGAATTCATGGAGAAATCAGCTAAGCCAGGGGCATTCCCCAGCAAGAAAGAGCTGGTGGAAGCAGGAAGGATGGATTTAGTGGAGGCAATAAAGAACAGGGGCGGATGGTTTTCAATGGGTTGGGAGTCAGAAGAAGAGGAGGCAAATGAAGGAGGAAATTTTGCTGAAGGCGAGGAATCCAAGCTAGATTTTGATCTGGAGGACTTCCAAAGGAGGGTGGAGTGCGTTAGGGAAACTGCTTCTTCCAAAGAAACCGACCATGGTGATTCACCTCCTTCTCCTGATGCTATGAATAGCCCCTTTTCTGCTCAGCCTGCCTCCTCCTCTGGTAGATCATTGTGAGGTTTCCCTTTTTTAATTTTTTTTCCTTAATCATTAATGTGTTTCATTTATGTTTCCATTCATTTTATTGGCTTCTCAGATAGGAAGGAATGACATTTCTGTAATGCCAAATTTTCAACATTCTATGAATAAACATTACAAATTTCCATTTTTTTCTTCATTATCCTAGCAGTTTGATATCATGATTGTTGCTTCTGCAAAAAGGAGTGGAATGAAAGGGACAGTAGTATTACTATGAGAAGTTTTTTTTGGATGTTTCACTGGGTTTTGTGTGTCAACAGTTGATTCTCTATTTTGTTTGTGTTGGATTAAAGTGCACAAATTCTCTGGAGGTATTATAAGTTAATATCTTGAATCTTTCCTGTCTCTTGTTGCTTAGAGAAAACGAGTTTGAAGAAGATAGTGGCATTGATGGGATATTGAGTAGGTTGGAGAAGGAAAGGAACTCATCTTTTGGTATCAATATGTCTGTACATCGAGGTTATCCTTCAAGCCAAGATAGCGGGAACGGAAAACATCCTGGAACCTCCGCATATGTTGGTAGGTTCGGGTTCTTCTTGTTTCCCATGATTTGTTATCTTTAACAATATTCTACCTCTAGGTTGATGACATCATAACGCTATTTTATAAGAGTAGATTTGGTTATGACATCATGTTGTATATGTGGTTATCATACTATGACGACCACTTACACGTTTAATTCGAGATTGCAATTAATGTCTCTGAACGCATTTAACACGTGTAATGTGGTTTTTTTACTCTATAGGTAGGAGTAAAGAAGATGGAAACACTGGCCACTATACCAAACCAGATAAAATAAATAATGGAGATGGAAAACATAGTCAGTATACTAAACCAGACTCTTGGAGAAATTGGAGCCTCAGTCGTGCTGATTTTAAGGATATAGAATTTGAAGGTACATTTTCTTATTTTAAAGTGTATTTCAAGGTTTAAGTGATGAATTGTTAATTTCCAGCCAAATTATTTGCAGCCGGTGAAATCTGTTTTGGTAACAACCAAATGCAAAATCAGGAAGAAATCTCAATTCGTGAGAATGATGCGGCATCAACAGAAGCTTTGCATAAGTGGAATCTGAATAGTGACCCTATTGAAATTCGCCTTCAAGACCTCCAACAGGAGCTCTCCTCTGCACTTCACTCATTGAAGTCTGGAAATGAGGAGATAAATACGGTAAATGTATATCATTCTACTGCGTTGAAATCTTTTATCTCTTTTGTGGTCTTATTCATAATTTACTTGTTCGATTCTTCATTTTATTCACACTTTTCTGACAACGCTGAGAGAATCATTTTGACTGTGGCTGGTTTAACGTATATTGTACTGGTCAAAAGAACACTCTTTTATTGTGAATTGATATGTGCCAGCACCTGGGTTGGATTGTATTTTTTTGCCCCCCTTCAGAGTGAAATTTATGGTCATTGTATATTCTCTTACGGGGTTATTCCTTCATATGCTGCATAATGCATTCTTACGTGGTGTGGAATTTGCTCTTTCAGCAGCCATTTGGTTGTGCTAATAAATAGATTCAGATATGCTACTGTAATCTCTGTGTAGAGAAAACCCAGTTTAATGAACTGTTTAATCTGGATACTGTTCATTTGAAAGAAAAAATATTGGTTGTGCAGGGAATTACTTCTGCTTCTACTTACCCACCAGTAGCATTTTGTTTGCAGGTTCTTGGCAACTCTCGTGATGATTTCCAGTCGCTATCTGATGCATTGGAGTTCCAGCAAAATGAATTCATGAGTTCTCAGGAGAACTTACGGTCAATTCGTGCAAAGTTAGCTGTTTTAGAAGGGAAAATGGCATTAGCTATTCTGTAAGGAACTTTATTTGTTTGGCCATTTAGAACTTTGAACTTTTCTTTTGATGACTTCTTTCCTTATTTGTTCTTAATGTTTCAGAGATGCCCAAAAGATACTGGAAGAGAAACAATTGAGAATTGATGGTGCTCGCAGAAGCTTGGAACTTCTTCGTTCTGCGTACATAGTGTGGCCTAATTCAGCTTCAGAAGTTCTTGTAGCTGGATCATTTGATGGTTGGACAACTCAGGTCTGTTTAAATCATTCAATGGTTGGATGACTCTGATTTGTCTGTTCGTTGCTAGATAACTAAGAATGTTCTCTATTGAACTGTAGCTAATACTGTTGCGACTGTTTGAGGTTTCTCACACGAGTGAATGGACCTGTGTTGTTCTTTGCTAGAAACGAACATTAACTTCTTAGCATTAATCCAATTACTATGTTGGAAGGGTTACATGAACTATATTAGAGTCTTCTCTGTTTTTTACAAGCCGATCTTATGCATGTAAAGTTCTCGAAATATATGTTTAGATAACCAGTCTTGAACCCTAAACGTAAATTGATCTTTGAAACTTTTTGTTACAAAATCATTCCTTCCCTAATGAATGCTCTGTTGTATTCAGTTCCACGTCCACCTCATTTCAGTATTTTGGTAGAGCTTCAAACTACTATGCTCAGTAGCTGTTTGAAGTTTGTTTCTGTTCAGTAGTTGATCTTGTTGACAATAGCGCATAACACAATGTTGGTTTGCAGAGGAAGATGAGAAAATCCGAAACAGGAATTTTTTCTCTGTGCCTTATGCTGTATCCCGGGAGATACGAGGCAAGTATCTTATTGTTCAATTTCTTGGTGATTTTAAGATTTTATTAAAATCCCTTGATTCCTAATGAACCGGCCATTTTCCCATCCAAATTATTGCAGATCAAGTTTATTGTTGATGGTAAATGGAGAGTGGATCCCCTGCGCCCCATTGTCTTCAGCAACGGATATGAAAATAATCTTCTTATTGTACCAGAGAAGCCATCTCAAAATTCTAACTACTGAGGCACGGTTAGAGAACCTCGTGACATTCATCAATGTTCAAATGCATTGATGACTAATTTTCAACATTCTTTTGACCATTTAAAGATGGTCGCATACACAATTGTAATACAACCATCCTAGAATTCCCAGCTTTTCAATTAGTCAGTGAGTTGTATGTAAAATGTAAATTTCTCTATCATTCAGTTTTGTACATTCAATAACTCAAATCCTCCAATCTCTCGTGTTTAATATACTTTCCTTCCTTTCTCCACCGGGATTGTGTAATTATGGGAAAGGCTTTCACATCTACGCTCGTATGTTAGCTGCCTAACCTGATGATACTATAGTTGAACACTTGAACTTGTCAGTGAACAATACAATGATGTCGAGCGTCAGTGCACTACAGATGTTTATTCTTCCAGGGAAGACCTACAATAATGTCGGCTAGCGAACAATACCCAGAATTTCTTCTTCCAGAGAAGACCTACGATAATGTCGGCTGGCAAATTAAGCACCGGAGACTCAGGACACGTCAAACTCAGGTCTTCGAATCTGCGGGCATCCCTACTACATAAGTAAATCCACTACCACAGAACACCCTAGGAACAAGATGCTGCGGGTTGAACGTTCTGTTGAAACAGACAGCATGAGGGCCTGTTTGATTTGTTGTATCTCCCAATCCCAGCTGACCATGTTCACCCCAACCCCATGTCATGACTGATCCGTCATCTGTGTAACGTTAACATCAAAAGATCAAAGAAGAAGATGTAAGCCAAGTGGACATTATGATGGCACTTATAAGAGATTCGACGATAATTTACCAATTATCAGAGCAGAATGTTCAGCCCCAGCAGCAATTTGCAGAATCTTCTTTCCAGTTAAACCATGAAATTTTTGCAGGCCACCTTCGTCTGGTTTTTCTGCTATGTACAATGAGAACATTTTTTTTACTAGAATTGTACTCTACAAAGAAATAACATAGAATGGTATTTGCCACCCCCTTCCTACCCACACCCACCCCCACGGGAACTTTTTTCATAAGATGATCATGTTGTCCAGGTTTCCAGTCAGAATACCTGGCTGGACTCCTTCAAATCAAGGACGAAATCAAGAGCCAAAACTTCCAATAGCAAATGACTCCAGTGTAAAAATAATGCCAATCAATTTTACTGAAGAAATCATACAATCAAACGGGATTACCACACATTTGTTCCATCTGTGCTGCCATTTGAGCACCGTTAAGAATTCCATGGCCATAACCTCCAAGCATGAACACCTCCCCATCAGCTGAAATAATAAAACCAGAAAGTTAAATCTTTGCTACATGAATGAATTCACAGTACCTCAGAGGAGAAAATGACTCAGTTCGGGTGATTGGCCTAAAGAAGAAAACACCTGCTAACAATAGAATATGATTCCATCCTAGAGCAGCTTGTCTGAAATAGTGTGGCGTAACAAGCTGCGGGATGTAAACATCATTTGAACCACTAAATCCTCTTCCCCACACGTGAACCTCTCCTGCAGCTGATGTAGGATTCACCAATATTAGTAAAAGGCAACAGAATTTGAGAGGCACAAAAAAAATCTTTGACAGCAGCAATAAAGTACATTGGATCATTATCAGATCCTTATATCCAGTCATGCAAGAGATGACAGAGAGAACTCACCACATAAAGCAGCACTGTGATCTCCGTTCGCATAAACACTCATGATCTTGATGTTATCTAATCCTATGGTAGCCTGAGGGAGACTTAATGACCTGACTCTATCAACAGATATTCCAAGCTGACCACGCTTTCCAGAACCAAATCCATATACTTGACCTCCTGATTGATTCAAAATTCAAACAAGAGAGATTTTACATTCTAAGCTTTTCTTGATTGACAAAACATAGAGCTAGCTCCAACCAATTCTTGATTTTGATAGAAGATTAGCATGGACCAATGTAATTGCCAAGAATCATACCCTTTACAAGCACCAGTGAATGGCGCATCCCACAAGCAATTTGCTCAACTTTGTAGGAATCAAAGTAGGCCACCTTTTCCGGAGAACATCTGGAGTCACAATCACCATGTCCAAGCTGACCAAATGAGCCATCTCCACAGGTAAACAGGCAACCAGTCTCTACAAATCATGAATTACAACCAGAAGAGAGAAATGAGAAAAATGACATCAGATCAATATTAAATAAATGGATTCATCTGACAGGCATATACTTAGGATTTGATGAACGCTTAAACACTTGGCTACAACATCACCACTTCCATTTTAAACAGTGCAAGATCAAGGATGAGTTTTGAAGCAACATTTATTAAACAACTTAGCATATTACAACAGACCAAAAATTCAATCTTTAAGATCACATTCAACAGCTCGAATTACAAACTAACAGAAGGGCTCATGATGAGTAGACAACCTGAAACAAATCCAGAGTGATTCCACCCAGCTGAAACATGAGTGATGGCAAAGCCTTCCAAAGCCTGCACTACCTTAGGCTGCAAACCATTGACCATCTCCCCGTGACCCAACTGACCAGAAGCCCCCCTCCCCCATGAGAGCACTCTTCCACCTACGTAACAAGCCATAAAAACTACTTCAAAACCAATTGAAAAAGAAAAGAATAAAAAGTTAACCATTACACACAGGACACTGTAAAATTATCAGAAAGACCAGTTTTTTTTCCTTTTAACAGGAACATAATACAAATATTACCAGGGGTAAGGGCTATGACGTGGGCGCCGCCACATGAGAGGAAAGAGATGGGTCCAAAAGAGGAAAGAGAGTGGAGGAGTTGAGGGGTGTGTTCATCTTGGAGCTTTCCAGTTCCTAATTGTCCATCCGTACCTGCACCCCAGCTCCATATTTCTTGTTGTTGTTCTTCTTCTTTGTTTCCTTCCATCATTTAATAAGTGAGAAGTTGAATCAGAACATGACCCCTGTACACTAAAGTACAATCTAATGTTACTGCGGTCTAATATCACTAATTGAAGAAAAATCGAAGCTTTCATAATTTTTTCGCCGGAAAAGAATGTCATAGTAGGCAGAAAAAAGTTTCTGGCTTTGTCAAAAAATTGCAGGTTATATCCAAAACTTTGGCCTCATAGTCAATTCTATATCATTAATTTTCCGTTAGCTAATTTTATCATTGACATTTGAAATTTTTGTTAATTTTGTCCAATTGATCCAATTTCCATTAAATTTAACGGATTTCCGTTAAAAAGTTAACCATTCACTTCCAAAACATGTAATTTGGGTTCATGGATAATTTCATCATTTTATAATTTTTAAACTTTTTAAACTTTTATATTTTTAAACTTAGATCCTGAACATTTTGAACATACACACTATCCAATAATTATCACAAATTAAAAATGGTGTTTAATTTTTACGAAGAATTGGATTTCGTTTGGTACTATCTTCTTCCTTGAAAAAATGTTTATTTTTTACTATAGGAATTGGACTGTTAGTATTCTTTTTTTTCCTAGAAAAAAAAAAGTCAAAATTTTAATTTGTCTACATATCACAAATTACAAGGTGAACGAATAAATTCTAGTTATAATGTAGAGAGTATTTCTCACGTGTTTATTTGAGGGAATTTTTTTTTTTTTGAATAAATGTTTATTTGCTTATTTGAAGTCAATTAATAGTAAATCACCAAAGATATATTTCTGTCATTGTGTGTTTCTAAAACTTGTTAGTTTGTACCCTTTCCCAAAGACTACGCACAAAAGAAGCGAATGTTAAAATCATATTCGCTCCGTCCCACAAAAATAGTTCAGTTTCAAAATATACAATTTTTATAATTTAGTTAAATCCCACAAGGTACAACTCATTTTATCCTTTAAATTTTTATTTTTACCCCTGATCGAAAGTTAATTTAACCATCACCCACACCACACTGATGTTTTTTTAAAAAAAAAAACAAAAAAAGAAAAACAAAGAGCTACTGTCGGTTTTCCAAGGCCAAAGGAGCTGACAGCCTCTTCTCCATCAGCCGCCGGTCGATTGCTGTTCATCATCTCCATCAGCCGTCAACCTCTTCTCAATCGGCGTCCATCCATGAACTCTAATCAGGAGCTTTCGTCTGATTGGCGATTGTTTCAACCTTAATTGGATTTTGTCATTGGATTTGATCGGCGGGGGATTTGAAATGGTGGAATGGTAGAGGCTTTTGGAGAGGAGGAAAGAGGTGGAATTGCTGGTTGAGGGCATGGCCAATAATGATCGGTAGACAGTGGAGGACATGGCGGCGGTTCCCATTTCCCGGCGAAGGATTGATCGAGATTATTGGTGGGATTTCTTTATAGAAAGGGGTAGTTAAGTCATTCTATCTGTTTTAATTTTGACTTTTTTGAAACTGAATTATTTTTTGGAATAACTTTTTTTTACCAAACTGACTATTTTTTTAGGTAGGAGGGAGTATAAACATAACTGCATTTCTTAGTACTCAACTGCTGAAAAATAAAAAATAAGGAATTCTGTATCTCCTTAAAAAAAGCCCCATCTTTCTAATTCTTTTTCTTTTATCCGTAAAAACAAGAAACAGGAAGTACTTAACCCAACCCCAAGTAGTAGTACTAAATTAGTACTAAACCAAAAGCCAATGGACTTGAAGTTTCAAATTGCAAAATTCCTCCTCCCAGTCAAATTGCAAAAAATTTCAACCACTCTCCAAATTCCTTTTCAAAGTGTAATTTTGATGATTGTAACAAAAACACTAATTAATTAAAAGTACTATAACTTGAATTGCTATATTCGTTTCCCATCATAAGTTAAAAAACAATTTATCTCTCACCATAAGTTGCAATTGCTATATTCGTTTCCCATCATAAGTTCAAAAACAATTTATCTCTTACCATAAGTTGCAATTCCGTCTTTTACTCTTTTTTCTTGTTTCCGTCAAAAAAGTAACGGCGCGTGACTTACACGTGCCTTTTGCCAAGGGATACTGACGGTCATTCTATAATTGTAGTGACACGTCCATCGCACATGACACGTAAAAAATTGACCGGCTCAAAACCCGACTTGGTTGGTTTATTTTCTCTTACCAAACCTCAATCCCCCCCTCCGAACCACAACGCGCTGCTTCTTTTCACATATGCTCTTCCGATTCTTCATCCCTAATGGCCCAGGTTTCCACAATCAAATTATTTTTAACAATTATAATTTAGGCGTTTGTTATATCATTAGGAAACGGATTTGGAATCCTTCTGGATTGAATTCGAATACTCCCAGATTCATGAATCTGATAACTCTGTTTGGTTCAAAATATAGAATTGTTGGATATGATTTTTAGAAAAAAATAATTTTTTCCCATAATAACCATTTCTCCATCTTCCTTCTAACACCACCACCGACTGCTACCTTTTTCACCCCCACCTGCCACTTCCCCGTCAAAATCACAATCCAAATCTCCATATCCACCTCCCTCATTTTTCTCTGTATTAACAATTAATTATGTAAACAGCCAACCATCCCTCATTTTTCATAATTTTAATGAGTTAAAAGAGTTCAAATAGTAAACAATCAATTTGATTTCAAAATTGAACAACACACAACAGCAACAATTTGCCACAAGTTCTAGTCTTTTAAGTGACAATTTGCTATCATGGTGAAGATGAATGAGAAGGAAGCCCTCGGAAGATGATGGTGATGATTTGATGTAAGGGATGAGAAATAGATTTCAGATCTCATGTCTACGGCTACCGGTACCGCAGCTCTAGATGAAAATCTTTGATTGTTCATATCATTCCATCTATCAAAGTAGGAAGAAAAATGATGGAGCAAAAAAATAATCTGAAATTCAAAAATGAGAAAGCAAGAACCAATTTTCATTATTTTAACGGGGAAAGCAAATGAGGATGAATAGAAAATGGATGCCGAGGAGTAAAGACGAGGAAGATAAGAATTAAGAAGAAAGAAGAAAAAGAAAATAGAGGACATAAGAGATGAAGATGGAATGGTTAGACAAAAGAGGTGGTGACCGGGGAATTTTGACGAGAAAAAAAAAAAAAACAAATAGAAGGGATGAAGAAGGTGGCAGGCAGCGGTAATGGCTACTGGTATGGTGATAGAGGTAGGTGGCTGCTCGGGTGGGAGCGATTGGTGACAGGTGGACAAATTTGTTGAGTAAATTTTCTTCATTTTATTTACGAATTTACTATTTGTTGCACTACTAAATAGTAATTAGTAAATAAAAATTAAATCCACGTAAATAATAAATGGGAATTAAACCCACGGGTCAATGAGTGTGGAGTCAACGGGTCATGTGACTTGCACGTGCACAGAAGAAAGGGCAAAAATGTCCCTCGCAAAAAAACCATGTTTCGTTAGTTTTTTGACAGAAAAAAAAAGACTAAAAAGTGAAAAAGGATGGAATTGTAACTTATGGTTGGTAATATATTATTTTTGAACTCAAGGTGGTGAACGTATATAGCATGCCAAGTTATAGTAATTTTATGGTTAATTAGTGTAAAACAAAATGACCCTCTCACAAAAAGCACAAAATAAAGGGGGAAAAACCCCGAAAAAAGAAAAGGAAAAAGAAATATACCACGCACAATGAGCCGGAAAAGAGACAGGTCTTACTCTTCTTCCTCCCGCCATGTTCCTTATTCCTTCAGTAAACGGCGTCGTCCTCTTCCTCTGCAACCGGACGGATTGGACCCCGTCGACGACATTGACAAGCCTCCAGCCACCGTAAAGAAGCCCACAACGGTAGTGATACTTGGGCTCCCCTCCGACTGCTCTGTGCTGGACTTGAAATCCCGGTTCGAGATCTATGGCTCCATCTCTCGCATCCGCATGGACCCCACTGGACTCGGTTACATCACTTTCAGATCCCACGACTCCGCCCAGTCAGCCGTTAACGCCGCCGTCGATCCTTCCTTCGCCGTCACCATACTCTCGAAACCAGTAAGCAAGCTCCTGAACCCCGCCCCTGCCTTTTCACATTGGATGCTTCTTTTTTCTCCTTGGTACTTCAGCTTTTGCAATAGAGTAATACTACTAAAATTGTGCATCTATCTGTTTGGAAAGTATTGAATTTCACCTTTGTCCAAACTAAAGCTTTAGATGACGAGAGCAATTTTCCCCTTTGTTCCTCTACGACATAAAGCAATAAAATTAGTTTGCAAATGCGGATTACATCAGGGTGGGGAGGGAATAAATGATTCTTTGAATTATGGATATTGGAAAGTTCCAAACTAAGTCAATATTTCTGGAATTCAGTTATTAGAGTTATAATGATCGGATTTTGATTGTTGTTGGTTAACTATTATAATGACTGAAGGTGCAAGTGATGTGGGCTACTGATTCAGTGCCACAATGGAGGGAAGGGGTGACAAAGAAGGACGGAGCATCATCATCATCATCATCATCCCCATTGTCGTCGAAGCTAGTGAGGCCTGAATTACCTCTTAGTAGACGTGGGAGAGGAAATAAGCTTGGTTCTGCCATTGTGATTCCAAGAGATGGCCACAAAACTAGATACGGTGATGTCAAAGATATAGTTGAAGTTGGAGATCGAGTTGGTTCAGGCTTAATTCAGCCTTTGGTGGCTAGAGAAATCGTTGCCTATGATGACATTCTGTAATTTAGTTAGTTATAGATCCTTTGGATTCCTCCAAAGATGTTGTAACATTAGCCTTATTTGTTTTGAAGATAGCAAGCTTGTTAGAGTTGGAAGAGGCAGGGGAGATGGGTGCTGCTTGTGATGTGATTGTTGGTTTGGGTCAAATTTGGTTGATGATGACCCTCCTTTGTTGTAGTTTCACCTTTGCATCTATAACATTGCAGACTAGAGATTTACCTGAATAGTTCTACTTCTGTAATGTCTTCTCTAATCTAGTTAAGCTATTCATTTTTTTTTTTTAATCTACTCTTGATTGTGAAAACGTATGAACCCATTGTTGGCTTTGTGTTCTGCAAAATGCCTATTATGATAATACACGGTTCTTGATGAGCTGAGACCTCCCCAAGTTCCACTTTCACTTACACCACCTCATGTTAACATAGGACTGTACGATCAGCTTATGTTGGTGGGATGAACTAAGAAAAGTATAATCATAGTAACTTGAAACTGCTCAGACTCGTGGAATCCCTCGTCTCCTCTGACTGCCATTCTGAAATCAAGAACTAACATTCATTTTGTTGCAAAGAACACTAGAAGGGACGACTACAAGATTGTGAATCGGTGAAAGTTCTCTAATTTTTCCGCCACTATTGTTCCTTTTTGGGAGACTATGAAGCGATGCAAAAACTAGTCAACCTTTTCCATTTCTCCAATGGTCATGATAACTAGCTTGCCTGTTTTATAGAAGTTGTAATTCTTCTAATTTTTGTCTAATGTATCCTCATTTAACAGTCTTGTCAATCTACAAATTTGACCACCCAATTGTATCAAAATCCACAATGATACTCGTTCTTATCTTAAACAAAGTTCACAAGAAAATGACGGATTGTAGTCCTCGAGAACTCCTCCCTACATTTGTTGCCATATAGTACACAATGTCTTTGTTTCTCTTTCCAGTTTCTGCGATTTTAAATGTTTATTTATAATATTGGGATTAAAGATATCAGCATCCACATTCAGTGTTTAATATTAATAGCCAATCCTAATCCAATTGGCGCAAATGTCTACCCAAATGGATACCTAAAATATCTCTCATTAGCAGATTCTCCCAAAAGTCCAAAACCCTTTTCCTAGTCTGTTACTTCCGAGTGATTTCTGAGTTGGTAGCAACAATGACAGGCTTAAAAATTGACGTGCCGATGAATGTGTAAAGGTTGCATCTTTCCTCATTCTCACACCCAATCACTTCTCCGCAGTTATATCAACGATGGCTTCTTCTTTCTCGTATCGTCCAATGATTTTGACCATCAATTCTGCAAAGTCCCATTTGAAACCCTATCCTCCTAGAACCCATTTTCATTCACTTACTAACGAACCAATTCCCATCAAGTTCAAATCTTTTTCGACTTTTCAAGCCCCTAATCATTTGGGCCATTTTCGAACCTCGTCTTTTCCAATTTCATCAATCTCAAGGTCAGCCTCTTCAAATGATCTCCTTGAGGTAATTGATGAGAAAAATAGAATCTTGGCAGCTGAGGAAAGGCCTGTGAAATTCCTCTTCTGGGTTATTTTCTGGGCGTCTGTCTCTCTTGGTTTTTTTGCCAGCTCAGGTGATGCTAATGCTGCTACTGCTGCTGTTGATTCCATTAGAGCTTCCAATTTTGGATTGAAAGTCGCCAATGCTTTGAGGGGTTCTGGCTGGCCTGATGAAGCTGTTGTCTTTGCTTTGGCTACTCTTCCTGTAATTGAGCTGCGTGGTGCTATCCCTGTTGGTTATTGGCTGCAACTCAAACCTGCCTTGCTCACTGTATTATCTATTCTTGGGTATCTATCTCTTACAATTCCCGATTAACATTTCTTTTTCCTCAATTGTCAGTTACTTTCTATACTGTCCAATTGATGGAATGTGGTATCGCGAAAGTACAAGTTTTTTTGGTGCTTTCCATCTTGATTTCCACTGCTGGGACTTAGGAGTAAAGCTCATGTTAATTGTAAAATGAAATCAACTGTCGGTTTGATGTGAGTCATGTACTGTTGTCACCACTATAATCTTTGCAGTTCGTAAATTTTTATGTTTAAATAGTCCACAACCGCAAATAGAAGTCATTCTGTTTAATAGATTGATTCCCAGACATATATGAGAAGAAAATTTAGTTGGCGGATTGACTGGAATCCCAGGGAATATAGTGTAGTTGAGGGTGGGGGTTTGTTGCAAGATGAGTTTTTTGTGATGTATCCATTTGCATTGTATTGGAAAAGTATTATGCATTAGAGTTGTTACTGGTTTGATGAGTTTATAGGGGTCATGTTGGGTTGTTTTTTCTTGTAGGAATATGGTTCCTGTACCTTTCATCATTCTATACTTGAAGAAATTTGCAACTTTCGTTGCTGGAAAAAACCAGGCTGCCTCGCAGCTCCTTGAAATGTTATTTAGTAGGGCTAAAGAGAAAGCCGGCCCTGTGGAAGAATTTCAATGGCTTGGTCTAATGCTGTTCGTGGCAGTGCCGTTCCCTGGGACAGGTGCTTGGACAGGAGCCATTATTGCCTCTGTTCTTGATATGCCATTCTGGTCTGGTGTTTCAGCCAATTTTGTTGGTGTTGTATTGGCTGGTCTCCTGGTAAACTTGTTGGTGAACTTAGGACTCAAGTATGCTGTAATTGTTGGTGCAGTATTGTTTCTTATCTCTACCTTCATGTGGAGTATCCTTCGGCATTTCAAAACATCTCTAAGTTCAATGAGTTAATGTGTTTCTGGAGAACTCATTCTGGAAAATTTACTTAACAAAATTGTAGCCTTTTTGCTATTGCTCTTTTTGGTCGTATGGAGTAAGTTCATCGCACTTCACGATCCTACTCATGTTCTTTGTTTCGCTGCAGTGTTAATCATCATTAGTCAAAATAGCTCTGGCGAAAGCCTGGACTTGCTTAGATGTTTAAAACTGCTTTCAGAATGTAGAATATAGACGGTGATGAACTAAACAAAAATTTGAGTTTGGGGCGAATCCGTATGAAAGCTATATGTAATTGAAGTCTTTGGGGAACTCTCAAGGGACAGAATCGTTCTGAGATTGTAGATGGATGTCTGTTGAAAACTATAGTTGAATGGCCTTGTAAGTTCACATCATAAGCGATGCATGCCAGTAGAATACTAAAGTTGAATGGCCTAGTAGTTGACATCATAAACATAAGAAGCATACATTATTTTGTTATCCTTAATTAAGGACCGGATCTGATAGTCAAGAAAATGCAGAGATGAATGCAGAGTTGAATGGTCTTTGTCATCACTCTATGTATCATTTTTCTTGGTAACTTCTCTTGCACTTGGTTAATGGTTTTGTGGCCTTAAAGTTATGGAGTACTTGAAATTACTATCAACCATAAGACCACAAATTGCTCCAGGTCTGATTTATTCTAAGCAAAGAAAACAAATGGGCAGAAGTCAGTAGTCAGTCATGGATGATATATTGTTACCGCTTAGATAATTGCTTATGGTACCGCCTGAGTTGGATGTATCACACGTCCTTTTCAGAACTGTACTCCCACGAAGCCAGTAAGATCAGACCCTTGTACTTGAAAATGTAAAAGAACAAAAAAACCCAAAAAAAAAAAATGTAAAAGAACAGAGGGGTTGGAAGTGTCTCTCATTCGAATTTCAGAAATGGGTAGAGGCTTCGACAATTATAATTGATGCCAAGAAATATCTATCGTTAATTTTGCATTCAATAGCCTTCCTCAAGAAACAAAAAGAACCTGAAACTCGAGCAGATTTGGGAATCATATTGAACGAAGAGTAGCTGCTGCTGTATTAAGAGAATGCAGTAGGAGCATCCTCGAAGACATACACTTGGGAAACCGATCGCCAATAGCTAATTTCTAAGACAGCAACATGGCCTTCCTGCTTTTTGAAATTGGCTAGATGTGGATCATGGATTGCCGTCATGCTTGGGTGAAACTAAAACTAACTATTCATAATTCTAACATCGGTGTAAAATTATGTGCATTCAGATAGGTCCAGATTCATTGACTCTAACCGCCGGATCCTCTAGCAACTCAAGTGTTTCAAAAGCCTACAATAAAAACCAAAGGGGTTGTGGTGGAATGATAAGAACTCCTCCACCCTTAAATATAAGTCGATAGTTCGAATCTCGTGATGGGCATGTAATAATCTTAAATCTTTTGGCCAACTCTCCCACTAATCGACGTGCCTACCATGAGCAAAGGGAATTAGTCATTATTGTCATGGTGGACATCCTGCAATATAAAAAGAAAAAAAAAAAGAAAAGAAAAAAAGCCTACAATAGAAATGTGGAGCTCCGCAAACGGCAATTCATCATACCGTAACGTAAAGAAATTCTCTTCGGATATATGCAAGGGACGAACAAGTGGAAAAAAAGGAGGGGAAAAGTGAAAAAGACTTAAAAGGAACAAAGTTGGGCTAGATACAACAAAACATATTTTGTTCAGATTATTTGGGCTTCATTTTAGGGCCTAGAACAAAATCAGTGATTCTGGCGTATGTATATGATTACTATATTTACCTAAAGAATTACCCAATTCAAAATCGCATCTTTTTTATCTATGAAAACCATGGATTATGATAGTTATAAAAAGTGTGTTGATTATTTTTTCAGGGTGAAGAATCAAAGTCAAAAAAGATTTGTTTACAAGTTTTTGGATTTCCAATGATGGAGAGGATCTGAGGATGACAATGGCGAGTCCAATGTTGACAAGAAAGCTGATCAAAACTTCACCCTGGTCGTGTGTGTTGATAGTAAAAGAAAGGTACTGGCATTCACATTGAATAAAGGGAGTTGTTTATTGACATAAAAAAAGCAGTAACATTCTTCAAGTTGCGGCTAAAACATCATGCTTTCAATTAGGGCTAATGCGGTTACTTATAGTGACGTTGTGTCCTTAGTATGAGCAAAAGAAGTGGGGATTTTATCTAGCCAGCAGTTACATTAGTAATAAGGAACATAAAAAGCATCATCTTCCTTCCTCGGCTCCATTCCAACTGTGTTTAAAATGCTAGTATCTGACATTCAGGCGTGGGACGCACGTGGGCAATTGGGCCCAGGAAAGCGACTCTACTACATTACACTCGTAACATCAAAAGGCTCAAAAATGGAGGACTTCCAATTCAGCAACCGCAACCAGCAGACAAAGCCCAATTTCGAAAATGGTGGGGGCAGGCGGTCAGATAACCCAGTCCAAATATTGTTCCGGGCCCATTCTACGTTTAAGTAAACATCGCAAGGTTTTGCATTTGCATGCATGAATTGAAAGTGAACTCCAACTACAATAACATCCTTTCAATTTCCTGCTCTCTCATTCTTATCCTTTTTCTATCTGATAAAATATTTGAGGGGGGCACAAATTAACAATGACACATATGTTTATGATGATAGGGAGAGTGTTTTTTGGGAGTGTCTTCTTAGTAGGGCCCGTTAGGCTTATAGAGTCCACCGTGCACTTCCTGCCACGTTTCTTGCTGGATTGCCTTCAGTGGGCCTCCTTCTTGGGCCCAATGACCTTCAGAGAGGTTCCCCGGTCTACGTTCTCTCTTTAATGGCGTGGCATGTATGAGAGAGCGACTACATCTCTCTGGACACGTGCACGTCAGATGTGAGCCTTTCTCCATAAACACCTTTCTACGTGGCACTCATCTATATGTTGCCACAAAGCAGGAAAAACAAATATATGAAGACATTATTATTTTTTTTTCTTTTTTCTTCTTTCCCCTTTTATTTTACGGCTTATGGCAAAATGCTTTACATTGTATGGTCCTTTGTTGATCAAACAGTGGTGCCAAATCCTGTCATTTCCGACATTTTGTATAAAATTGTTTGAGATGTACTTATGCGAAAAAAAAAATCATTTATATTGATGAAATGGCTCAAGACAAAAATATAATGACAGCAAATGTATTTATTAAATATACTGATCAGTGTCCATGATTCTCAAACTATTTCAATTTTTTTTTTCTTATCATTATTCCTAATTGATAATAATGACCTTAAAAGTTGTTTCCCCATACAAAACTTTTTTCTTCTTGTTTCAAAAAGGATGCAAAAACTTGTCACATTACAAAACCCTAGATTTTTGCTAAACTCGAACTGTGGCCTAAATGCGCCGCCCCATTGATGACAAATTTGTTTAGAAAATGACATGAAGGGAAAAGAAAAAAAAAAAAAAACTTCTCAGGTGCTTTTGGCTAATGATCTTATTCCGTTTAGTAATCAACTGGAATGATTTATTTCTTTATTCCGAAATAATTAGCTAAATACTGATCGAGTTCGTGCTCATTTAAGTGTACCCTTTGCAAATTAAAATATGATGAGCATAACAGTACAGGTAAAACAAAAACAAAAAAAAAAAAAACAATCTACTTAAAAAAAAATTTTGTCTAAACTTACAGAGAGATTATACTAAATTTTCTTTGACATCGTGGATTATTAAGTATTTATTGTCCTCTCACACTTTAGAATATCTTGAAAGCAAAAGTCGGCTGTGATTTAATCGTTAACCTTGAAGTTTGTGGTTTTTTAAATTCTTAATGATTGAAAAGTAAGTCGTATTCGCTACAATTCTAACACGTTAATCACCCCAAAGTCATAATAGCCACGAACATAAAATAAAAGCCTTCTTTTTTATATATAAATAATTTCAAAAAGCTATAAAACACTACGTGCTTCTGTTGAAGCATTGACTAGTTCTACTTGATGATGCCACAATTAATTAATTAATCATAAGCAAACAAGATTAGAGACTAATTAACATTACTAATCCAACAATAAATATATATGAATTCCACATGTAAAGAATACTCACCACCAAATGCCATTCGTAAAAAATCTTGATAGAAAGATGGAGCGCGACACGTTATGGTGTTCTGTGAATTAGTTTAATTCAGAAAAATTGTCAACGTCTTAGAGGGGAGGCCGTAGTTTAAGCTATAAAGTCATTGCCCTTATGGAAGAAGAACATGATTCAATAAAAACCATCTCTATATTTTGACTTTTTTGGCCCTGCCCCAACTTTTTTTTTTTTTTTTTTAAATTTTAATTCCTTCCTCTTTAGCCTTGCAATTTCACTCACTGTCTGTATTGTATCGTGCCAAACTGCCAACAACATGCATTGTGTAACCATCTAGAAGCCTCCTTGTTAGAACTTAGAAGAACTCAACCTACATCATGAAATAACAATATCTTACTATTGTAGTTTCTTCAACTGAAAATGACTGAATTAAGCAGCAAAACAAAAGTTACAGGGGAAACGTATCGTTCAATTTAGTCATTTCATTACTACATAATCCTATTTGGGTTAGTTTAATTTGATAAAGTGGACGTGGAATGCAAATATATAAAATTTTGATCACCGGAGTAATTTGGTTGACAAAACAAAGAAAGAAAGCGTGCATGCAACTGCAACATCACATATTTATTGGAATTAAGAATTTTAGAATAGTGTAAATTACTCTACGATCTTGCTCGTGCTACTTTCTCCACGAATTAGTAGGTCGAAATTTTAAAATAATTAATAATTGCTCACATTCACAGAGAGACTTTCATAAGCACACAGAATTTGGTGATCATCCCTAGCTACTAACTTTTTCTTCTTTCTTATTCGTTTGCCGGACCACACACACACACACACACAAATGGTTGAATTTGGATGTGGTGTGTTGTTGGGCAAAAATGCTTTTGGTATGATCTGGCTATGAATCTATCCTAGAAAGTGACTTATGATTACTCACTTTAAAATGTTTTTGGTAATGCGCCAAACAAAATGTATCTAATCTAAAAGATGGAAAGTTCGGAGCACATAAATAAGCTGATTGATTCAGTAATCTTCAAAGTCCATCTAAATTTTACTTTATTAAGCTCAACTGAGAGATGAGCAAAATGCCACCATTTTTTCATCACCAAGCTAAACAGAAGCCACCAAAAGATACTCAAAAAGAATACCTGGGGCTTTCACATTTTACTCCTAAAAATCCTCTTATATACATCAAAATGTTGAAACCCTGTGAATGGTGAAACAGGATTTTGCTCAGTAAGCCCAGAACCAATTGGACTGGTCTTCAATGTTTGGGAACCCCAAATTGCCTGCGTTGCAGCTCAGACCATTGTAGCATTCATCCTCGAGTTTTGGAAAAAATGGTGGTTGCAGAAAGCTTTTGCTTAGGCTATCATCATCACCATCATCTTGAGAAAGGTCGGAAAATTCTGGTTCGAACACATGTGAAGAATCGTCGGGGACCAGTATGGAAGAATTGTTTGCATCAGCACAATGTGGGCTCTCTGAGTCAAACACATCACTTTTGACTGATGAGCTTGCATCTTCTTGCTTAATACTACTAAAAGCAGCAACTGGCATTTCAGCTACTTCTTCTGGAGAACCACAAACAGAAATATCTTTCTGCCCTTCTGCTGCATTAGTCTTCCCTTTCTCTCTGAGCAGCAATTTTTCCGTGAGTAAATGAACCTATCCAATTTGGGAACATGTTAAAAAGTTAGAACTTCAAAAACAGAGAGAAACAGAGTAGAAAATCTGATGGAACAGGGCTCCATTTGGATCAAACAGGAACGATTAACCACCTCATTTTTCAAACTTTCATTCTCTTTGAAAAGGGTATCGTAATCTGCCTTGAGTTTATCGTAGCTTGATTTCAAACCTCCGTAGTCTTTCTCGAGCTGCTTGGTCTTGTACCGGGCTCGGCGGTTTTGGAACCAAATGGCAACTTGTCTAGGCTGTAAGGCAAGTTCTTTAGCAAGTTGGATTTTCCTCTCGGGTTCAAGCTTGTTTTCCACCTCAAAACTTTGCTCCAGAAAATGAACTTGCTCCGCCGTCAGCCGCCTTTTCTTTTCCGGTTGGTGCAAGTAATTGTCGTAATAAGCCTCATTCTCGTCCCCTTCTTGTTCAAGCTGCGTATACAACGCCTTCTCCCTTGCATTTTTTCTTCGTCCATCGCTGAAATTAACTACAGATGTTGACCCTAAACAACAAAGCAGAGAGAACTTGTTATTAGCCCTTTACTCAATACATGATGAACAAAATCATGGAATTTTTATTAACTAACCAAATGCCGTATATACACAACTAAATCAAATTCAGGATCACCAGAGGCCAAGTAAAACTCAAAGGACTGCCGTAGAATCTAAGTACAATTGAGTAATTGTTCAACTCAGGAGAAAGCAAAATTCTTTTATGGCATAAAAATTTGATCTTCTAAATTGATAAACGAAGAAGTTTTACATAATTCAACTTTGCCTTATGATAGACAACAAATCTTGAGTAGCTCATTAGCACAACCAAATCGAAGCTAAAAAAGAAAGGGTCTTGCAGAACACAAATGAAACAACCAGAAACACCAGCGAAACATTCCAGTACTAACAAAAATACAAGAAACAAAACAGGGCCATAAGAGTGAATTGATGCAAGGATAAAAATTTACCATGAAAAGCAGCAGGAGGAGGAGGTGGGATTGGAGAATCAGTCATCCATAGAGAATCAAGAACTTCATGAGAAGAACAGGGTAGCCTATCATTCTGAAACAAAACGTTACTGATGTTTCCACCCTCCATAGCTTGGATGAATATCAAACTTTTGTGAAGAGTTCCAAGCTAATTACAACTTTCCAACGGGCAAGAAATTTGAAGGGAGAAAAAAAAATGCACTTGAACACTAAAAGGATGAAAAAATTTGCAAGAGAAACAAGAGGGAGAGAGTCAGAGATGGAGTATAGAATGGGATTAATGCTTGTGGCGAAAGAAAGTGGTGGTGAGGACCAATATAATGTGGAAAGTGTGGGAGTAGAAAAGGCTGAAACTCATCATCAATTTCAATATCTCTGAAGTATTACTTTTGCAGAACAGAGCAAAAGGCAGAGAGTATTGATAGGAGTAGAGAACTAGAGATGTGGGCAACAGGGAATAGGTGACACAGGCTGGGTTTATAGAGTTGAAGAATTCTATGCACTCAGAACTGAGAAGGTACAGAGAAATGAAAATAGACAATAGAAAGAGAGAAAGAGGAGATTCTTTGTATATAGGAAGGCGAGCTTGGCAGTTTTGGCAGAGCCTTATAAGCATAAAATCAAACCAGGAGGATTGGATGGATATAGCCATTTCTTCTGGGGCTCAAAGACATACTCGTGTTTTGAATTACTAAATTGCCCTTGGGATTTTCATCTCCTGAGGCTACCTTTATCTTTATTAAGCAAATAAATTTATTTGCTTCAGTTAGTATTAGTGAAACTACGTAAATTCATTAATCTTTTCTTCTTTTTATTTTTTTTTACTAATTTGTATTTTTGAGTTTATAGTTACCGTTCTAAACTTAAAATTTCAACCCTAATAATAGAGATTTTATAAATAAACTAAGATATCTAGTTAATTCCTGAACCGTAACAACATTCGCAAATTTACTATTGTGATTGAAAAAATAATCTAATTTCACCATATCTATGCCATACATAAAGGGCTCAATTTGGAAAAATGGGCTTGTTCACTCCTATTCTCTATCCAAAATTGCTGACGTGTCGTTTGCCCTTCTTTTCTATCCCCACGCGAACGGGAAACCTCCGGTGAGCCTGTTCACTGCCGGTAGTCCGCTCAAATTTGCTGACGATTCATGCACTCCTTGTTCTTGTCCCCACACGAACAAGAAAGTCCCGATTATCTCTTCCTCTCGCTTTTTTTCTCCCTCCACCAAAAATTACGGGTTCTTTTCGTTCAATCTGAAGATTATTTTTGTAGCAGAGTAACGATTCCCCGGAAAATAGTGCCGCCGGAAAAATAGTATCGTGAGCCCGTTAGTTCATCAAGAAAGAAATCCACATCCAGGTTCATATTTTCCCAAACTCCATCACATGGATACCGGTACGGAATGCATACCGGATCTCTTGACCAAATTTCCAGATCCATTGACTAGATTTAGACGGATTGGAAGAAGAAAAAAAAATAGATCGAGGGACAAAGGAGAAGAACAGAGACGAAGAAGAAGAAGAAAGCAAATGGAGTCCTGATTCTTTTCCATTCCCGGACAGTTGCAGCGAACAGAGGGCGGCCGAAGTTGGAGAGAAAGACTGGCTAAGAAGGATTGGGCCATTTTCCTTTTTTATGTTTTAATGTCAGATCCCGGCGAGGATCGAACGGAAAAGGAGGGATTTCCAGTAAATCGGAGATGAAAATGGAGGTTAGGGTTTGATAACCCGAGAGGAATTAGGAACGACACAGCGTTTCTGAAAATTCAACTTCAATTCAATATTTTAGATTATGAGTTTTCGACCTCGGGTCTCTATTTATAGGTCCATAGATACCTGATTTTACAATCAAGCCCCTGAACTATTGATTTAGATCAATTAAGTTCAGGATCGTGACAATCTCTCCCCCTTATTTCAATCTTGTCCTCAAGATTGTAATTATACAACTTAAACTAAAACAGACAACGGTACTAACACCAGATTTTAGTTCTAGTACAACCATACAGGAACTACAAAGGAATGCACAATTCTCAAATTAACGAATCCGAAATGTAAGCAAATTCATCAAACGATAGAAACTGAAAAAGAAATCTGCAACGCTGAGATTCAGAGTAAAACAGTAATTAGCAGCTCCAAAGTGGAGCTACCTGGAATCGAAGAGCAGAAGCAATCACTAAACATCAGCCAATCTTGATCAGAAATCTTTCTTCCACCTTTATCATCGTCAAATTCCAAAGTTAGATCATTAAGGTCGACCATCTCGCCATCCACAGTCCAGATTATGCTATCAGATGTGAGCTCTTTGGCCATTTCCTCACGAAGCATGACATTAACCTGTCCAAACTTGTAAACGTGCCCGGGCTTGAAGTGATCCCCACATTTGTAACACAAGTGGTTATTTACCCTGTATTGGTATTCTTGAGGAGACATCTTCTTGACGTACCCATTACCAAAACTTCTATTTCCTGTGAACTTCCCATTGCCACTTTCACTGAATCTTTCCAGTCCTAACCTCCTTATCTAACTGATCACCACCTTCAGTTTTAAGCTCTGGCTTACCATTTGGATGCGAGCTGCCGACACTCTGTGAACCTTTGTTTCCATTACCCCTATCCCCACTGCTAACAAGGTGTACCCCATACTTAGTTGGATCCCCAGGTTGATCAAGGGACCCCGAAATTGAACCAGCTTGTCCAGTATCTAATAGGCCAATACTAAACATGGCAGCTAAATTCTTCTCTTGGTACACAGCAACATCAAAAGCAACGTCTAATGTGTTAGGATTCTACATCCTAACCATAGACTTAATCTCTTCTTTCAAGCTACTAAGGAAACAGGACACATAATATTCTTCATCAAAATCTTACCCTAACTGTAGCAATCTGGAATGCAATTCCTCGAATTGCTCCTAATACTCATTCACAGTGCTAGTTTGAAACAGCTTGCTAAATTCCTCTACACAGCTTAGTCCCCCTTTACTACCAAATCGACGGATCAACAATTCGGAGAAATGATCCCAAGAAAGCTTACCAGCAGAACGTTTGATCCCCTGGTACCATGTTTCGGCTTTGCCAACCAGGAAGATATTGACTGAGTCCAGCTTCTCCTCATGCGGAATGCGATGCATCAGGGAGTATTTGCGGCATTTCTGAAGCTAGTTCTGCGGATTTTCTCCCCTGAACTCGGGTAAATCGTGTCTCGGCTGTTGCTACCACATCGGAGCAACCACTCTTTGTCCTTGCTAACCATTTCGAGATGGATTTCACAAGCCACTATTGCCCTGCGCTCCACCAGCAACTATCAGCTCCGGAGGAGGATTATTTTGGCCTAAGTTGCCTACAATTAGACTGTTCTCCTTATCCACTCGCCTCGAATTGGTTGGAGTACGGCGATTTCCCTTTTCCAGAACGGTTTTGAATGAATCTCTAGGGTTATCAGCTCCAAGAGGGGTGAAGGGAGGTCGGTGTACTGATGGTGACACTAAAGGTGCGTTGTCTGTCACCAGAATTGCTTCTGTAATCGGCGCCTTCTCAGGACTTAGAACTTGCAGCGATGCAACCAACTCGATGAGCTTGTATAATCTTGCATCCCTCTCAGCATTTCTTGCCTCCTACACCGTCATTAGAGCCACCAACTGATCGAACTTTGACCCTGTCTCCGAGAATATGAAATCTAGGGTTTCAGGATGAGTAACATTCACTTCACCTTGCAAATCCCTAGCAGAATCTTCATCAACAGTTGTAGATCTAGCCATTTCTTGAGATGATTCGAAAGTAATGCAATTCAAGAAGAGAAACGAAGGAAATGAAAATTGCACAGCGGAGAAGAGAATTTCTCGAACGAATTCAAAAAAGGAGAAGAGGAATCTGATTCGCAAAAACGAATCGGAAAAGGTGCGAAGGAGCCGACTAAATTCAAAACCACGAATTCGGAGGAGAAAAGAAGAATGAAGGAGAAAACCGAAATCGAATCCGATTAAAATCAACTCGAGAAAGGATTTTAGAGAGAACTAGCGGAAGAATAGATAGAGCGGCCAAGAACCGACAAGCTCTGAGACCAATTTGTTAGATCCTAGCGAGGAGGTTAGGGTTTGATAACCCGAGAAGAATTAGGAACGTCACAACGTTTCTGAAAATTCAACTTCAATTCAATATTTTTGATCATGAGTTACCCTGGGTCTCTTTTTATAAGTCCATAGATACTCGATTTTATAATCAAGCCCCTGAACTATTAATTTAGATCAATTTAGTCCAGGGTCGTGACATAGTACTGGGTCCTTTTTTTTTCATTCAAGAGAAAACCTATTACTAATATCAGATTGATTTTTAATAGAAAGTATCACTTGGGCTAAATTAAAGGAATGGGTGGATTGGCTTTTATATAAGAGTATTAAATCTAAATATAATACATTATTAAGTAATTTTTATAATATACAAATTATTAAAAATATATATGAACAAACCTAGCTGGTATCGATAAAAATTAAATTGCAGCCGCATTGACCTGCATGATAGCACCCTGCAATAATAACCTCCGCATTGAAAACTCGCATTAGAGAGAGCCTCGAAAGCTTAGAACTCAAATTGTGCTCAACTCAAATTAAGTATTTTGGAAGCCGTTCAGGTTATACAAAGTGTGCTTAACACTATAGCACTTATGAAAAAGAGAATTTTAATATTATAATTCATTTACATTAACTATATAACTTAGAAAAGTATTCTTGTTAACTATTGAGACCAAAAGTGATTTAATGTACATTTATGTCACCTAAACTTTCAATCATTGCTTACTAACATATTTGGTTATCAAAAAGCCAAATTAATTTGCACAGATACTCCAGGTGAAGCCGGTTGTGCGCCACCTCACCTAGCTGTTGCGAAAGTCTCGTACTGTTTTATAAAAAGAAAAGCATTTTGTCCAGTTGAAAATTGGACCGACTTATGTCATGAAAGTCTAACAGCATTCAAAAAAGATAGGGGGGAGAGAACGAAAGGGGTTGTGGTGGAGTAGTAAGGATTCCTCTACCCTTAACCATAGGTTGAGGGTTCGAACCTCGCCATGGGCATGGAGCAACTTTTAATCCTTTGGTCAGCTCTCCCACCCAAAGAGGTGCTTACCATGAGCGAGGAGAATTAGTCACTATTGTTGACGGTGGACACTTTGTAATGTGAAAAAAAAAAAAAAAGATAGATAGAGGGAAAAAGGGGTAGAAATGGGGGGTGGCAAAAAGGAGTAGTAATTTGGGAAAAGCCTAATGCTCTAGTTAGAAAAAAAAGGACCTTGAGTTTCTATTTAAAGTGGAATTTAGATTATCACATCAATCTTTGTGATAGAAAAAAAGGAATTTAGAATTTTTGTTGTAGTGCGTATTCAGAGTTTCAAACAGCAAAGCACGAGGGGGAAAAAAAAAGTCTCTTTATTTCCTAATACTTCCAAGGGAGTACGAATTGGAACCATCCATTCTAAGGATCGATTTTCGTAAGTTGATTTCTTATGTACTAGTTTTGTCATCTTTTTATGTTCTTGCACCCACTAATTTCTCCAGCACCTGTATTAAGATCAAAGAGGAATTCCGAGACATTCATGCATCTAAATGGTCCTCCGTCCCATAATTATT